TATGTCTATTAGTGAAGTTTTATAGTAATGGTTCGTGACAACTTTTGAATTTTGAACAAAATGAATTCATTCGTACAAGAGTCACTGACTTCCCAAGATTGTCTTCTTGAATAAGAAAGAAAAGAGTTAAAATTATATTGTTTTATTTTTACGTTAAATTATGGAGTAATCCATCTCAACTATGGAACCGATCTATTGTCAAACATTTGTACCACTCCACTGAATGTTGATCTTGAGACCACCTTGAGAATATCCCCCCCCCCCTCACCCCGAAAAAAATACAACAACCCAAAAACACTTTCCGTAAGTAAACCGGTATCACTGGCATCTCCTAAAAAAGAACACTAGATTTGCTTTAGCTAACTGCTAAGAAACGTGAGGAAAACCCAAATAGAACCACTCGTTGAAATGGGTAAGGAAGGGGGATTGGGATGTGGGTATTTTTAAAGAACTTACAAGAGATGAGACTAACTGAGCGCACAATCACAACATTAATTTTGCTCTATTACTTCGTACTTCTAATTTTCTGTGGGTATACCACGTATTAGTAACAATAAGAAGTTTGTTTGAAGTCTCTCATCAAATCAAGCCCTTGTTCATAGCCTCTCTGAGTTGAGTCCTGTCTAAAGTACACCCCGATTTGTACTTCGTATTCTGTATAGGGCTTTTGCTTTTCAAATATGCTAATAATAAACTTCGTATGACTAATAATATATAACCAGTAGCCTTGATGAGCCAATAAATACTCGCAGGGTCTTGTGGGTGTTATTAAAAAAAAAAAAGGAGATGTTTTTGCACCCCCATTGACACAATTTAGATAATTTAGGAGGCAGGCTTCCGACCCTGCCTGTCAATGCCAACCCGGGTGAGAGGGATACAGCATCCCAACAGAAAGACCAAGATGCTCGACAAAAACTTCTTCCCACTCGGGAATCGAACTTGGGTCTTTTGCGTGTGACAGCGGAGCTCCTAACCGGTACACCACAGATACCGGTCTTGTGGCTGTCTCATTTTTATAATCTATTAAGATGATGCAGTGTTGACAAAGTGCTGTTAAGATTAGTTTGAATAAAGGGTAACACAAGATACAATAATGGTCATTTAGCGCTGCAATAAAGCAAGACAGACATACAGGTAGACAGAAACTAGGGAAGATAAGTAGAGAAGTAAAACATCACTGGCGCCCTTTTACCGCCCATTCTTTGGAAAATGATGGTGCCCATGCTTGTAAATGCACTTCGGTGTTTAACACCTCCCCTCCCAATTGACACTAGATCATCTCGGAGATGACCAAGCCTGAAGGGACAACCAGAGCCAAGATGGATACAATGTACCAGAAGACAAACAGAAATACTCAATTATAAAATATATCTCCATTTGGGAATCGAGCTCACCTTTTGTGCATGTAAGCAAAGTGCCTAACCGCCGCACCACAGATGCTGGGGATAATTTTTATGGCAGCAAAGAAGAAGGAGGTGACGGAGGAGGAGGAGGAG